ATTGGGAGGGACCTTTTGCAGGACACAACCGTTCATAACAGTCTTGAGGAACTCTTGTCTGGTCCGTTTTGTATTTCCGTTCTGTTTGGTTTGGTTTGTTGCCAACCCTTCTTGCATGAGAGTGTTGTCTGGGCTTTCAGCCAATGGAGTTGTAATTCCTGTGATTAAAGAGTGGCAAATAGCCAAGCCTGTGTCTGCGTTACTCACAGGCTGGAGGGGGGTCAGAACACTTACCTCTTGGAAATCTTGGGGCGTCTTATACACCGGTGCATCTTATAGTCTGAAAAATACGGTATATTCCTTACAATGCAGCTCAGTACAATCCAGGGCTAGCTTTTTAAGTTCTTTCAGTATCAGTCCAATCTCACTGAGTTTCGACCCTGTTGATATTAAAGCACTTACCCTATTTATTTTTTACTGGATTATGCAGTTAGCATGTTGAGCTTAAAGCATAATTTAATTTAGATGCGATATGTGCTATAATGCACTAGGTGTTTTTGGCTGGCATTGATGAATCCTCTAACTGTGATACAATCGATTGGGTTGCCTTAATATCACAAAGATGTTGCAGGACAGGGGGAAAAATGGTCTCCAGCAGCTGCTGGCTGAATTACGTAGGTTACAGTAAATGATAAGGGAGATAGGAGGAAAATTGCTGATAGAAGTAATAGAACTTTAAGAAATGAAAAGAAGGAAGGAAATAAAAAGTAGAATAAAAACCAGTTGGGGATAGGAGAAAATAGTTTTGAGGGAAAGAAATGAGGGTAAGGAAGGAAGATCAAAGAAAATATAAGGAAGACTAAGAGATAAAAGAGGAACAATGCATGTTGTCAAGAGCTGAAAGACTGAAGAAGTCAAGAGATAAGAACCGTATACAATAGATGCCAGTTGTTCCCCATAAACAAGCCTCTAACATATCTCAAAGCCCCTTTGTTTCCTCTCTCCTTTCCCAATTTTGCATTTTGCTTTCCTTTGTATTTGGCATCAAAGAATTGATAGACTGTGGGCCATGTTTAGTAGGGTAATGACGCAGAATGTTTGGAAGAATGTTAACACATAGGTTTTAACTATATAATATTTACTATTCAACAAAGTGGAGAATTGTTGCCTCTTCAAAATGTTAAAAAAAACAACCCATATATAGTAACACTATTTGGCGATAATAGTCAGGGAAGGGTCTGAGGCTCCCAAAAGAGGTTTGTGGGTTGTGTGGGGCCTAGGGGCTAGGAATTGTCTATCTCTGCATTCAAGATTCTGAACTTTTGTTGCACAGATCATACTATGGATTGGTTTGGGAGTGTTAATTATCAGCACCTACACAACTTTATCAGCAACTCAAGAGACTCCGGCAAAAGTGGAAGTCGTGGAACCAGACAACGTGCCTAGAGAAATAAATAAGGAACAGGACTCGGCTAAAATTTCAGGTATGTGACATGTTCTGCAAAATGCTGCATAAATTCCATTAAATATAGTTGCACTCCAATCCATTCATAGGATCACAGTGCTGAAACAGTAGAAATCATAATTTTAGGAAAGATAATGTAATGGCGATAATCTCTTGTTTTCCACATGATTGTTTTTAAAGTTAACAAGCTAGGACATTCTTTTTCTTAGAGGCAGATTTTTAGTACAGGAGTCAATATGTATTATATCATCTCCAACCTTTAAATGGTTAAATATCTGTTGGAATATGCCAGTAATCTTTCTTTTTCTGTTTTTAAAAACCCAAGAGCAAATGTGTAGTTATAGTAACTGAACTTTGATCTTGCCTGTTATATAACAATGCAATAAGTATATTTTAAAATAAATAAGGTATATAAAAGATGACTCCCCTCCTCCCTCCAGACAAGTACAAACTACATTGACTTGACGGCTTCTCTTATATTTCATTTTTAAAAAATATCTTTTTCTCATCCCTCATCAATAATCAAATTATAAAAGCCTATCACTCAGTCCTAATCAGCAAAAGTCTACTAAGAGCTACCAGAAATATTAACACATATACTGCATTTTAATCTTAATTTTAAAAAATCTATTTGTAGCCCAAACTCATCACTTTTTTAAAGAAATAAAGCAAAAGAATTCTCGCCCAGCTTGTAAACAGATTCTTAAAACTGTTCCATACAATTCTGGTCAAAAAGAAATCCCATTAGTACCCTGTTTCCCTGAAAATAAGACCTCCCCGGATAATAAGCCCAATTGGGCTTTTGAGCGCATGCGCTCAAATAAGCCCTCCCCAAAAATATTGCAACACAGGAGCAGCCATGAGGTGACCATGCTCGCAGTCTCCTTTATCTCAAAAGTAATAATACCTCCCCAAAAACAAGGCCAAGTGCTTATTTCGGGGGGTCAAAAGAAAATAAGTCCCTGTCTTATTATCAGGGAAACACTTAGTTAGCAGAAACCAAAACATACATATTTCAACTCTGAGGATATAGATTCATTTCATAGACCACCTGTTTACTTTATAAAAGCTTTAATCCTGACATGTCAAATGTCCATAAGTTGACTTCTTATCATTTTCTCTTTGTCTCTCTCAGGAATAATGTCCTTGGTTTCACTCCTTATTTTTGTAAATCCTAGCTAAGAAGGCTTTCCAAATCACTCTTTTAATTATTATTTGTATGTCCCCTTTAATTTTTAAGAAATCAACCGGTTTCATCTATGAATCTACTTTAGTATCATTTTCCACATTATTTTTCTACTCTTGACATTTTTAAAGCTATTTTCAGATTCACAGCAACTTTTTCCATATAGTTTTTGTAACCCAACATTTTTAAAACTCCAAATCCACATTCAAATCAGTTTGTTTTATCCAATGAAATCTGGTGTTTGTCTGTATCCTTTGCAGTGTTATATAAAAAAAGTAATTTTTGAGTACATCGTTTCCAACCAGTCTTAATTTCTTTTAATAGTAAAATAGTGTTGCTGCATTGTATTAATGGGTCTCTTCTCCTTTAAATGAAATTGTTTGTTCTCTCTGGTTCCCTCTAGTCAGCCTTATCATCTGTTTATTTCCCTACTTATCATCTGTTTATTTTCCAATCAACAAACTTTCCCACATTGCTTACATATGAATTTCAAAATCTTCATATATTCTTTAATAGTTTTTTTAAAAAAGCCCACAGGAATATTCTTTCAATTCCATTGGGCCTCTTAGTTTTCTAAAATCCACTTTCTAGTCCCTGTTTTCCAAAAAAAAGAGCAAAGCTTTTCTTTATAAACCATAAACTTACATTGGAGTTTTGTTCATCCATGGTAGAAGTAGATTTTCCTCACAATGGTGTAAACCTTGCCCTTCAGAAGGCTCTTAACTTGAAAGAAGTTAATATTAAGCCGTTTCCTAAAGTAGCAAAGAGGAATTAGGCAAACTGTATGTCTCTTTGGTGCCTCTATGGTTCTACATACCATAGCTTAGAGAGGATGATTCCTCCCTCCCTCCTTTCATGTATCCAGAGTTCTCAAACCTGCTGGAGCTTGCAATTTTGCAGGGAGAGGACAAGGATGACCCATAAGTCATCCTTGTCCTCTCCTTAATCTGAAGAGGAATTCCAAGGAGCTGATCTATTCTTTGGCTTCTATTTCCACCATGTTTTTGGGCTCTGCAAACAGCAGGGTAGTGATCAGTCTGTCATTGCTGTTCCCAGAAGACTTTTTTTTTTTCTTTTTCTTTTTCTTTTCCTTTTTATATTTTTCTTACTTTGCGTTAGGCTTTTATCTCTGTATTTGTAAACTTTAATACATTTATTGTAAAAAAATGTAAAGGTTTAGCTTTATTTAAATAAACAAATGTATAAACCCCTCCACAAATATATGCGTAGTGATTTTCAATATTTTGGTCAAAAGTGGCAAATAATGTATCCAAATCAGTATTTGGCTTATACACCTGAAGGTTTGATGTTTTCAGGTTGATAAAATAATATAAAATGGACATTGTCAATAAAGTGCAAGTGTGCAAATAATAGTTATTCCAGATCAGTGATGGCTAACCTTTTTGTCGTTGCATGCCAAAAACACATGCATGCGCGCACAACAATGTGTGTGCCCACCTGCACCCATAATTCAATGTGTGCATGACACACACACCCGCATACACCTCACCCCCGCTCCCTGTTTTGGGCCTGGAAGGCTTCGTGCACCAACCTGGAAGCCAAAACGGGGCGCAAAACGGAGCCCCCCAAAAGCAATGCAAGTGCCCCCATGCATGTGCTGCACACACGTGACCTCGCATGCATCCTGCCCCCGGTGCATGCGCGGCAGAGACCCAAAGACCAGCTGGCTGGAAGGAGGCATGCACGCACACATGTGCAGTGGAGCTGGGCTGGGGCAACAGCTGGCATGCCTGCAGAGAAGGCTCTGCATGCCACCTATGGCACACGTGCCACAGGTTTGCTATCACGGTTCTATATCAGACCCTATTTATGGTATGGCCTCAGATCTGAACTTTTTATACATTTTTTGGGATTCAGAAACCTGGCTGTCTTGGAAAACAGCCAATCGTAGTTTGATGAAGGAGCTATGTAACTCTTCTGCTGCCACTTTTATACACTGATGTGCCTTTTAGTCCCAAAAGCTTGTTTATCAGCCATATTTCTGGGCCATCCCCAGCTAACCGTTAAAACAAACACTTGTCAGTTCTGAAAACAAACAGTCCAATAAAACTGGGGGGGGGGGGATTTTGAATCTCTCTCGCATTACTAATGCCATGCATACGTGTTTATCAGGCCAAGGAAAACATAGGAGCTCACGTGAGTCAATGTAGATTTTGTATTATTTAATTGATAATTCAGACTGACAGATAAATTCATTCAGTTGTTGTCTAGATTAGCAGGGTGAATCAGAGCTTGGTGAAAAATACTCATGTGGTTAGACATAGGCTACAAATTAAGAAATGGGATGCCTTTGAGCACATGCAGTTTGTGTTCTAGAAAAAAACCAAGCCTCAAAGTTATTTTCTCTCCTGGTTTTCCCCCAAACATTCTTTCATGATACTGAAATTATAAAAAGGAGACTCTGCATTAATGGACAAAGCAGCCATATAAAAAGCATTCCATCATGATTATTCCAGCTAGTATAAGGGGAGTGACATCTCTTGAGAAAAATAAATGCACATTTATTTTCTTTCTTGTTAAAAAAACAAAATTTCCTAAGGATTACAGAGGAACAGAGAGACAGATTATGAACGGAAAAGGATATTTCCCATATTTTCCTTTTCCATATTATTCCATATACCGTAATTCTTTCCTCTCCTGGTTTTCTCTCCCAAACATTCTCTTTCAGTTGTGTAATTTTAAGTGGAAAATATTTTTGAACTGTTCCTATTTTTAGTTGTTTGAGTATTGGGAACCTTTCCCAATCTACTGCAAATCATCTGTAGATCTATAAATGCTAATCTTCCAAATGCTAGTCTAGGAAAAAGAACCAGTGAAACGGAATAGGAGTACTATTGCATTACCCCCTCTTTTTCTAGCTTTTCTGGAATTCTATTTAAGTAGAGCGATTCCTGGTGATGCCAGGGCTTAGCAAAATGAAGTGCTGTAACAGGTGGGAAATAGCCAAACATGTGTCCCTCTGTGCTGTTACTGAGGCAATCTGACAGCCACAGAAGATAACGTTTAAGGGATCATTGGTGAAACTTGAAGATCATGAGATATACAAGGGGAGTCCAGAATAGTTCAGAGAACTGCAGAGTCGCACCAGGGATTGTGCATGTGCAGGGTGGGGGAGCGTGGGGGATGTCACGCATGCATGCGCAGGAGAGGAGGGGGTTCGTGTACACATTGTATTATGGGTGCGGGCACACACTTTTGGCATGCAACGACAAAAAGTTAAGCCCATTACTGCCTTATAAGGTTATCTTTTAGGGGGTGCTTCTGTGCTCAATGCACCATCTTCCCTCTCTCTGTTGGGAATAATTTTGCAAAAAGAACCTGCTTCCCAGGGAGCTGCATTCTGTCATTCAAACCACGGATGGGGCTTCTGGGTTACTTGGCTGTCACCAATACCCCCTCTTTCAGCCCACATCTGTTTCTCATTTCTTGCACGAGCCTCTTGCGGAAACACATGGCTTTCCTCTTCAGGCAGCGTGCAGAGGAACCCTTTTCCCAGCTTGTTTCTGAATTTGTCCCAGTCCCCCTCCCCCCTCCCCCGAACCACCAGCAACTTTTAATTCGTGCTTGGCTTGTTAAGGCCGTCTTCATCACTACACTGAGCATTTCAGATTTCTGCCTTTACCATACACCCCATGCCCATCAGCAGATGCTAGGATGCTTGTGTTTTTTTTGTTTAGAACAGCGGCCTTTGAGGATATAGAGCCCCGAATTGTACAGACTTTCATTAAACTCTACCCCCTGGGTTTGGAGATTATGGAGATTATGAATGCTGCCCTTATATGTGAACACATATTGACCAGGAAATTTTGAAT